CTTTAGAGGGGTGGGGGGGGGGGGGAATACATTTATTTGCTCTCTGAGGTGCATGTTGTGGTTTGTTTTGGTTTGTTTTGGAGAATTAATAATAGCTCGGTAACTCGGGTTGTGAAAGTGTCCGTGGGCCAGACTATTTGTTTATGATCGTCAGGGGGTTGTGAATCATGGCAAGGGAAAGAACAGGAAGGGTAAAAAAATAAAAAATAAAATGAACTTGCCACCGTGGGCTTTGACGCCCTATTTCCCATGTTGTATTTTTTTGACGAGGCTGCAGATGGTGCGTCGGATATGAGACGACCGTCCAAGTGGGTACTTTGATATTGCTTGTGCCTGCCCCAGGTTCCAGGTACCTACGACGTCCTTTCGTCGTGGCTGGAATGCAACTGTCTATTTCTGCTCTCGGAATATGGTGCCCATGCTGGTATTGAAACATGGCTGCAGTTTGCTGCAGACGTACGATCTGACGCGGATCAAGGCAGTTTCATGGTTGGCTACGGAGTATTCCCAACTCGGTGGGAAAAGGGCAAGGCTACCGAAACTGTCGCAGAGTGATGCTCTCCGCGAGTGCCTCATATTTTGTCCCAGGCAAATGTCTCGTACTCCGTGTCGGCTTGCCTTCCTCAAACGGTTCCGAAGCGATGCATGTCCAACAAAGTTTGAGTTGAACCGGTCGATCATTCCATTTGTCACATGGAGCACGTGGGAGGATAGGCGCCGTGGCTTGCTGCGGCGGTGAGTTCTAAATCGGGCTCATCGTCCCCACGGCTGCAGGCCAGCCTTGTCAAGCTTGCATCTCCAATGCCGTGTCCACTTCCACGTATTGCAATCTTGAGTTCCCGGCCAACACAATCATAGCCTGCCACCCCCAAGATTTTCCTAGCCGAGCCGCGTCAACGGAGGTGACTGATCTTCTTGCGGCGCGCTAGCGGACTCCGAAGGTGTGATGACGGCGAAGCCAGCACTTTGAAACAACGCATTGAGCTTGGCCAAACCACACCATGTTGGAGCTTCATGTCTGGGGACCAGCCTTTGGCCTGGCCTCCATCGACGCAGAGTGCCTCGCAATCATCACGTATCTACACAAAGCGCTCCCTGCCAGCGGCTGGCGCCTCGTCCCGAGCAACGATCCTTCCGCATCCCCATCAAGTATGCCCAACCATTGAGCATCATTCACGGTGCTGTTCACTTTTGACCCCAAACCATCTGACCGCCTCCGAGCAGATCTTCTCCCCGCTCTCGACCATGACGGCACATGGGTGAGCGGTTATCGCGCGATAGTAAACTACCTCACCTCAAAGTCACTCTGTACAAACCTCGATGCGAATTTGAACCCTATCCAGCAAGCAGACACCGTTGCATACGGTGCTTACTTGCTGGCCAGCGCTGCACCCCTCGTCGATCTGTCTCTCTACGTCTCGGCCGCCAACTGGTCTGCAACAACAAGACCAGCCTATAGCGTCTTGTTACCATTTCCCTTGACATGGACGCTGCCGCCGTTGATACGAGCCGAGGCTGCTCGGCGCGCGGAGCATCTTGGTCTCGCCGAGCTGGATACAGACTTTGATCCTAATGGCGGACTGCATTTGACTGCTGGTCGGGACGCCTTGCCCGAAACATTTCGTAGGCATTTGCCCGCGCGGACGAAGAAGACTGTGCGAGAGGAGATGACGCCTGAGCAGGCTGCCGCTATACGGTTGTATGGGCTGGCAGAGGACTGCCTATCCGTTGTGAATTCGTTGCTGGGAGAGACCAGTTCAGAGGAGAAGTCGCCTCGTTTCTTCGGCGGAAGCCGTCCATCCTCTCTGGATTGCTTGGCATATGGGTTCCTGGCACTTATGGTTGTACCAGATGTACCCAGAAGCTTCCTCAAGGACTGGATTGGAGCGGAGACTCCACGACTGGTCACGTTCGTTCAGTCAATGGCTCCCGCTCATTTATCGTGGTCTCCCACGGTGGCCCCTTCAATTTTGGGCTCAACTAGACGTGTAGCTGACTCCATCTTGCGAAATATTCCCCGTGTTGGAGAACACTATGCCAATGAAATGCGGCATAGAACGGAAGTTGGCGTGAAGGGCCTGGATCAGAGGGCTTTGATGGTGATGATGAGCGTCATGCTTACCGGCGCTGCCTTCGGCTACGGTTTACACATGTACAAGAGCCTACAGCCATTTGGAGCCAGAACACAAGTTTGGAGACAGCTCCGTGGTACGTCTAGGTTGAGCCAGTTTGGGGACCTGGGTAATATGCTTAGCAGTGCCATGGGAGCATATCAACCGGATTCAATGCCCACCGGAATTACGACTCGAAGTGGTCGCCTTGTAGAGGTTGACTCGGAGGTGGATTAATACATCAAGAAGGCACATAGAGTCCAGATACCCGTTCCCACTGTGGGACACCAATTTTACAATATGTAATGAATAGTTTTCTGCATCTTTGAAGGACGTGGTTTGACCTCTCTTCATGATGCCATTTCTATGCATACTCCTACAGAGCACTTTACCCACTGCCTGTTTCTCTTTTTAAATTTGTCTTCTTCATCATGTTGAGCGCTTAATACTCTAAATTTGCTTCACCTCCTTGCCAATCATGTCGGGCCGCTCAACTTCCCACTCGTCTCTTAAGACGGCAAATGTCAAATCCGTGACCAACAAGCTCTGCCCCAAACTCCACACCAGCGTAATGGCGTAGAAGAAGTTTGCATTTCCGCTGCCAGCGTATATCCACAGGTGATAAAACGCGGGGCCCAGGAACGTGGCGTACAGGAGCGTGGCAGACGCAACGTAGGTGTACCTCATGAGCGGGAAGACGTGCCAGAACAGCGGGAGCATGGCGAGAAACAGGCTCGCGTCGGCGATGGAAGGATACGGCTTGAAGATGGAAAAGATTCCCAGGAGAATGGTCAGCACGGCGAGGGGCTGCGTGCGCAGGCGGATCGTCAGGCCACCCACGTACGCCGCGAGGTGGAGCCAGAAGACGGCGAGGAAGAAGGCCCGGAAGGAGTCGAACATCTCGATGAAGAAGTACCACCACAGGCCGACGTTGGGGGTGAGGTCGGACAGCGTAAGCTGGATGCCGTACGTGCGGGAGAGGAACTCCCACGAGTTGCCGGTGAGCACAAAGGACATGCCCAGCAGGAGGCCGAGGCAGACGGCGGTCATGGCGACGCATTTGGCGCCGAATGTGACGGCGCTGGCGGTGCGGCGGGCTTCGGGCTGGCGGTCGAAGGAGAGGAGCACGAGCGGCGGCAGGAGGAGGATCGGGTACATGGATAGGTAGGAGGCAAAGGAGAGGGCGACCATGGCGTTGAACGCGGAGCCCTGGATGGCTTTGGATATGGCGTGGAGGATGGCGCATGTCGTGAATATGCTGGTGGAGCGGCCGATGCAGCTGGCTATCGTGAAGGGGTTGAAGAGGAATCTGGACATTTCATGTTGGTCTTTTTTTCAAAGCGTTTCGATGCACAGGTTGGATATGACCACTTACGCAGCGGCCACTGCTAATCCACATGCTCGCTTTGCTCTCCGCGGCGACGTAAATAGCCTCGACTGCCCGGCTTCGCCTGAACTCGCAATTGTAGAAAGCGCATCGGCGCTTAGCAGGTCGACTAGTATGTAGAGAAGCGACGTGAAGATGGGCCAGGTTTTGACGCTTGGGAGCAGCGAAAACAGCGGCAGTAGCAGCGGTGCCTGGTGGTAGACACCACCATCGTAGGGCCACACATTGTGGTTGTAAAGGAACAATCCTTCTTGCACTGCAAAAGGAGGAGGGAAAAAAAACAGTCAGCTTTTTGCGTCCGGAAGCTAGTTGAAGGGGCTGCCGCGAGGTCATATCGAGACTGAGGCAAAATGCGGGCGCACTAACATCGCTTGAAGCTCGTGACGGGGGTGGAAATCTCTACACGGCCGGTCAAGAAGTCTGGCAGCCCGGGAAAGGCCACGGTAAGAAGGAGTCGGAGGACGGCAGCGCCAGCGTAGACGCCAGCTTTGCCTCGCGATGTCATGGTTGAGGCCATGGCACTTGGTCAGGCCATTGCTTGGGTGCGAGGAGGGGAGACGCGCTGGCCGGAGGGTGTGATGCCGGTCGCGGTATGGAGGCCACTTGGCACCTCGGGTTCACGGGCCGACGGTGGAGTACTTACTTGGTTTGACTTGGACCAGCACTGCTGACGTGCACGATTCGAGTAATACAGGCCACAGGTGCCATTCGTTGATTGGAAGATGAAAGTGAATTATTTGAGTAGATGTATTTTTCACTTGGCACTGGGTGTATTTTACTCGGAGCCAACTGTCTGGCTACATATGTATGGATGGCAGTTCCGCCAGATGGTGTCCCCACGATCCCGGGACGGAAACATTTGGCCTCTGGAACAAAAGTTTGCATTATTCTGAACTACTTGTAGACATGATGGCGGCAATGGAACAATTTCCATGCTTTTACGAACCTACCATAAGTACGGCACACATTGATAGGCCCGGTTTGTGCGACAATCCGGGCGGTGAGATGTATGGCTGCCAGCAGCAGGGGTTCGCATCACGCTAAACGCAGAATGGTTGGAGACCTGGGCGGTGCCGTCTGGCAATAAAATTCCCAGCCAACTTTGGAACTCCAAAAAAAAAAAAGTTCAGAGATGGCAGAAGGCCGCCCCGCTGCCTTTTCCAGTCCAAAAAGTTCACCAGACGATCCCTCACGTCAATCCAAACGACAATGGGTCGGATAAAGAAGAAGGGCCAGGCCGGTGCGGCCAAAAACTACCTCACGCGAAACCAGGCCATTCGAAAACTTCAAATCAGCTTGCCTGACTTCCGTCAGCTCTGTATTTGGAAGGGCATCTACCCTCGCGAACCGCGGAGCAAAAAGAAGGTTTCCAAATCCTCGACTGCCTCGACCACCTTTTACTACGCCAAGGATATTCAGTATCTCCTCCACGAACCACTTCTTCAAAAGTTCCGGGACCAAAAGGTTTTAGAAAAGAAAATTTCCAAGGCATTGGGTCGTGGTGACGTCGGCGATGCCAAGCGACTTGAAGGAAACGCTTCGCGACCAGAGAAGACCGGCAAGCCTCGATACACTCTTGACCATGTCGTTCGCGAGCGCTACCCGACCTTTGTTGATGCACTGAGGGATTTGGACGATTGTCTTTCCATGCTGTTTCTCTTTGCCAACCTACCGTCCACCTCTAGCGTTCCAGCCAAGATGATTGCTCGCTGCGAGAGACTTTGCCTCGAGTTCCAGCACTACCTTATTGTTTCCCGAAGCTTGACCAAGTCCTTCCTTTCTATCAAGGGTATCTACTACCAGGCCAACATCCAAGGTGAGGATATCCTCTGGCTGGTGCCTTACAAGTTCAACCAGAGAATTGTTGGCGACGTTGACTTCAGAATCATGGGCACTTTTGTCGAGTTTTACATGACCCTCTTGGGTTTCGTCAATTTCCGTTTATACACCTCCATCGGTATCAAGTACCCGCCCAAGTTTGACGCTGTCAAGGATGAGAATGCCGCCGAACTTGGCGCTTTCACTCTCGAAGGCAAAGCACTGGTCGGCGCTGAGGAACCAAAGAAGTTGGAAGATGCTTCACATAAGCCTGACCCCAAGACTCAGGCTGCGGTCAACAAGGTTCTGAAGACTCTCCATAATGGTGACGCAACAGATGCCACGGAAGAGACCGAGAATGGGACCACTGAGACTGAGGAAGCAAACGCGAGCGCCATTGACAAGTTTGAACCCGCGGCTCCTGGTGGCGATGTGCTGATGCAGCCGTCTACTAATGGAAACAATCACGGGACCTTGTTCTCCAATTTCACTTTCTACCTATCTCGTGAGACTCCTCGACAGCCTCTTGAGTTTATCTTGAAAGCATTCGGCTGCAAACGTGTTGGATGGGACCCTGTCCTGGGTGGTGGAGCCTTCACAACAGATGAGTTGGATCCCAATATCACGCATCAGATCGTCGACAGGCCGCCTATCCAAGCAGCAATGGAAGAAGATGGCGACGCTGAAGATAACCAAACGTCACAAAAGCTGGCTGTCAATCGTCGGGTCCCAGGGCGGACATACGTTCAGCCCCAGTGGGTGTGGGATTGCATCAACGACGTGGAACTCAAGGAGCCTCACCTGTACGGTCCCGGAGCATCCCTGCCGCCTCATCTTAGTCCCTTCGTAAAGAGCGTCCAAGGTTCATACGATCCTACAGTACCTTTAGAGGAGCAGGAGCCTGAAGAAGAGGCTCTGGAGGCTGATGAGGACGGCGACGAAACTGTAGAGGGCATGGACGTTGCCGAAGACGAGGATGAGGATGAGGGCGAAGAAGGCGAAGATGAGGACGAGGAAGATGCTGAGAAAATGGAAGAAGATGTCCAGGAAGAGGACGGAGAAGAGGGCGAAGAAGAGGACGAGGCTGCTCTCCGACAGCAAGAACTCGAGGCGGAGCTGACGGGCACCTCTGTCAAGGCCAAGACTACCAACAGTAAGGCCAAGGCCAAGGAACAAGCGCGAAAGGCTTTACGCAAGAAGGCCAAGGAAGAAGCCGAGGACCTTGAGCGTGCCAAGGGTATGCTGAGCAAGAAGAAGAGGAAGCTCTACGAGCAGATGATCTACACAAATAACAAGAAGAGCGCAGAAGACCAAAAGCTAAGAGCGAAGAGAAGAAAGCTGGAAAAGGGAAAGGCCAAGGGCAAGGCGTAATCGGGATTGTTTTGATAATTGTGAATAAAATGCGTTTTTAAATGAAGGTTATATAGGCCTTTGTGATCGATGACTCTACGCAAGTCTGTGTGGATTTTAAAGGAAGTCGTTCCAAAGTTTAACCAAAATGCTATCAAGTGTGTGGCGCCAGCTCTTCGTGACGTGTGGAGCCCCCGACCTCCAACCTCCAACCAACAACCACCTTGGTTACAATTTTGCCAACTACAACTTGACATCCACGCGCTAGCAGCGTCAGCTTACAACTTTTTCATAACCGCAAAGAGCACCGTCTCCAAAACAAGTCGACCTTTCGTTCAGCATAGCAACACATGAAGAGGCGCCCATGTTCATCTAAGGGCATGTTTTGAGCATGGAGGAGAACCAACCCACCAACTGGGACCTGGACACAGATGAAATCGCATCCGTCGCATCAGAAGATTTGTATGAGAATCGACCAAACCGCTGGAAGGGGCCTAAATCGACATGGAGAGAATTTACTAGGGAGGAGCGGCTGCTCTGGCGGTCCATGCAACAGCTTGTTGACAAAGATTTGGCGGTGCATTTGTACGATGCATTTGCTTTGAAGAGACAAGGGAGGGACCAGGCCACAGCACGGAACCTCACTATCAAGACGGTATGTCGCATACACGATGTCGTTTTCAGGTGTACAATTTTCTTGAGGGGTTACAGCAAGCGGTGTTCATGAAGATGGGCTGATTATTATCAGGGAGATGCACAAGACATTGTCTGGGCGCCGCCAAAAGTATGGACAGCATGGCCACTGAAAGAGAAGCATATCTCTGCAGAAGGGCTCTTTCAGAAACAAAACGACGAAGAGGAAAAGTTTACACTGCGCAAAGTGGAGAATAGGATGCCCAGTACCGAGCTGCAAGATGAGCTTGCCGCGACAGTGTTGCGTCTGGCGAAGGAACGATATCAACGACGATCATGGAATCGCCCACTCCATCCATCCATTGAGAGCCCTTCCAGCCCGTTGCCATCTATATCAAAGGACCAGTCCGAGGATGAATTATCACTGCCATCTTCTCCTCCTCTATCAAGTATGTCAGCGGGTAGCGAAGAGATGTCTCTTTACCATGGCGAGGATGGATCCAGTAATCATGATGAAGAAGAAGACTTGGAAAATTTCCACGTTGGGAATGAAAAGACGTACGAACCAACTATATCTTCAAACGATGACCTGTCGAACCTTCTTCTCCGCCCCTCTGTCCGCCACATCCTCACACAGCTGGACCGCACCCTCACCATCCTGCACAACGCCCGCGTCGCCGGCTTAAACTACCTCTCCGAATCAGACTCCTCTACAGAAGGAGATTCTGAGGCGGGAACGCCTCGCAAGAGAGGAAGAAGGGGCCGTCCAAAGCGTACACCCCGACCTGGGGAAGAGCTCTCATCTTCCGAGCAACTGAATCTACAGGGCCCCAGACGTCGCGGCAGGCCGCGCAAGGTTCACACACCGCGAGAAGGTGAGACGGAAGAGGAGATGCGGTATCGTGTAGCTAGGGAAGGGCATAGACGACTTCCCATCACAGCTGCAGATCGAGATGCTGCGTTCGAAGCCTGGTTACAGGAGGGTTATCGCCGCGAGCGTGAGCAATCTCGTACAAAGGCAGAATCTGAAGAGCCTGTCGCTCAAGAAATCACTGGTGAAACGAACGTTGAGAGAAAGCTACACAGATGGGGCTTGAGAGACTGGAGTGACGTGGTTGGAGCTGCTGCGCTGGCTGGATTCTCTGATGCCGTCATAGCACGCACTACCAAGCGATGTGCCGACCTCTTTGGTCAAGGCATGGTTATTAGACGTCTAGATGAGGTTCCTTCTACACGAGTCCCAGCATTCACCAGTAAAGAGTACCGCCCCTCAAAAATTCAACTTCCGTCGTCTTCCGCTGAATCCGAGTCCGAACCCTCAGCAACACTCCCACAACGCCGTATCACGTCCCGGCAGGCATCTGTCGCTCGATCTCCCACAGCCTCCTCGCCTGCAACTCCTCGTGGTCGGTCTCTTTCACAATCCGGTTCCCGCTCATGTTCTCGCTCCTCCGCAGGATTTTTATTCTGCCCGATTCCAACATGTGATCGTGCAACTATGGGGTTTTCAAGACGAGCCAATCTGCGTCGCCACATGACCCTTGTTCATCAGGGCCACACATCAGAAGAAAACGACTCGGACGACGAGGTTGTAGGTGGCGTACATGTTGATGGATTTTTGAAGACATTTTATCCTCACAGAGGGTGGAGAGGCGAGGATGTGCTTGCGAGAAAGAGGAAGAGATATTACAGGAGGAGGAGTGTGAGTGTGGATGAAGACGACGACGAGGGGGCCAGCGATGAGTCGTGGAGAGGTTGATCCAACTGTGAGAGGCAAAGTGATGAGAAATTATTTGAGAGCTGGCCACTCGGCGCTTTTATTCTAATTGATCTAGTGCCGGTGTCCACTCAATGGACATGATGGACAGGCTTAACGAAGACCTCAAGATACCGCCTTGTATTGCGATTTCGGAATTTGACAGACAAAGCGTTGCAAAGAATACTTTCGACTCGATTCTCTATCTCGTCATAGTGTAACAACTACAGTTTAGCAGGCGGCTTGACATCAACCGGTGTCCACCATGGATAATACGGCAACCCATCCTCCATGGTGCCCTTGAAGTCAGGCTGCCTCTTCTGCATGAAGCTATCAACACCCTCTTTGGCATCCTTGCCCCTAAATAACCCGTGAAACAACCTGCTCTCCAGCAGATGCGCTTCCTCTGGGGAGCTTGTCGTTCTGTAAATCATATCCTTCATCACCCTCGACGAGACATTGCTCACATTCACGCTGATATCCTCGGCAATCTTCAACGCCGTGGGCAAAACCTCCTCGGGAGGAACAACCTCGCTGAACAGTCCATCGAACAGCTTATGGTTAGCTGGGTAGACGGCGCCTGTAGTTGTCAAATGCAACGCCTTGGAAGTCCCAATCAGCCTCGGCAGGAAGAAGCTGCTGCAGGCTTCTAGACAGAAGCCCCTTCTGCCAAAGACGAAACCGATCTTGGCTTCGGAACTGGCGATGCGGATGTTAGCGGGTAGGGTCATAGTGATGCCGACGCCGACGGCGTGGCCGTTGATGGCCGCGATGACGGGCTTGTTGCATCTGTACATGGCGACGGAGATGCGGCCGCCTCCGTCACGGTGGAGCTCAGCGGTGGTCGAGACGCCCTGGGGCGAGGAGAAATCCATTCCGGCACAAAACATCTTGTTTTGGGTGTCGGCGGAGGTGAGAATGATGGCTTTGACGCGGGGGTCGCGAGAAAGGGTGTTGAAGACGGTGACGAGGTTATCGGCCATGATGTCTGTGAAGCCATTGCGGTGCGAAGGACGGTGGAGTTTGACAATGATGATTGGGGTTGGAGAGGGTGAGGATGGCGGGTGATGGGAGATGAGGAGGGTTGGGAAGCTGAGCTTTTCGTAGGATTCTGGTAGTGATGCCATTTTCGGGCGTGGTTTGGAGACGAGAGTTTTGGAGTGACAGCGTGGGATTTGTGGGAAAGAGTATGGGGCTCGGAAGCAATCTATCAGGAAAATTGACGACGGAAAAAATGGTGTAAGTATGTGTTCAGTGTACGTGTGGTAAGGGCAGTCAAGGCCTTGGTCGAGATAAGTAGATCTTGGATGGTGATTTATATCTGGGGTTCAACAGCCGGGTGCCGAGGTTCATTTTGTGGAGGCCATGCATGTACGGAATTATCACACGGCATGGGGTGGTAAAAACACATATAAAATACGTGGCGTGGCCACGCCAATTTTTTATGAGACACCATGGTTCTTCATACAGTGACGCGACGAGATTCGTTTTTGTTCAAAGTCTTTTTCAATATATTGCATATGTCAGAAAACAAATAGATGATGAGGCTGCAAACTCTGAATGGACATCCGCGGTAACTATGTTTGCGGAGGAAGTTGCGGAGCAGAACCCCGTGTTAGATGTGGGCCCTCCACTAGATCCCTTTAAATGTGCGCAGGTGCGTTTTTCGTACCGGCCCCATTTTCCACAGTACCTTGAGGATACCCTTTTAGCAACAGGTTAGCCTCATAATATAGCTTTAATTATAATAAGTATAAAGTAATATCTTATGTATAAAGACTGTTAATGCTTTTATTATTATCTTATTTTTTAGTATATTTAGGTGTGGGTTTCCTTATTGGGTCACATCCCGGTTCGATACAACAAACGCATCTGCGCACTCAAAGGGATGGCTCCTTCCCTGGCAGAACGCTTTGCCCTCTTTGCCCTTGACAGGTTGCCGCTGACTAAGCAAGCCTCCATTCTTCTCCACGATTGGAACGACGAACCCGCCAACACATTCACATCCCTGCCCATCACCACGCAACAGGTCCAGCTCAGCTCCACTAGAGCATGTTACTCGCTCACTTGCTCACTTGTTCGCCCAGCTGCCAGTGTTCGTCTCTGCAATGCCCAGACGTGAAGTCATGTCACGGCTGCACTCGTCCATAATATGGTATATGACTGGGACGCGCATCAGCAGACATGTTATCGGCTGTATATCGACGAGGACAGGTCCCTTGAGGACATTATGGACCATATGAAGACTGTTCACAAGTTCACACCGAGGTGAGTCACTCACACATGGCACCATGACACCATCACACTACAGCACCACAGCACCACGGTCCGCTGGCACCCATTGGGATTCTATTCTACTGGCTGCCAAGTGCGTCTGCACACACATACAACGCTATTACCAATTTGCCCGCACTATCCGGCCATGGTGTGAATGGGGTAGACGCACCCTGATCCCGCTGAGCTGGCTCTACGTTCACAACATGCTTGGTGGGCTTAGTTTACTTGTTGCTGTTGAACTGCTCCTCATCCCGCTTTCTCTGTTCTGTTGTACAGTGAACTGCAACTTACACAGCTGTCTAGCAAGCGAGCATTCCAGACGCAATTCCGCCGTTGGAACTTTCCGCCAAAGCAA